ATTTTATGTCAATCTGACCGTCACAACATTTATGGTTAAACATCCTAGAAGATTGGGTTAAACACTGGTTCATGGGCTGTTGATGGCAGGCCCACTTTCCCACACTTTCTCTGGCATTTGCCCCTTATAAATAATGGCATGCTTGGGGAACAAAGTTCATTTCTTGCATATTTATTACTTCTAACTAATTTGAACTAGTTTTTTAAACCGCATAATTTAGTTATTGGGCTCTAATAGAAGGGACTGGAGGGAGTACACTTTTCTACGCTCGCTATGGTATCAAATCTGTTTCTTCAGCCAACGAGCACCATTATTGGAAACACGATCCAGGATAGAGATGGTGAGATTGAAACAAGAAGCAATTGTAGAAGATTATTGAAACAAGTCTGACGCAATTCTACTGGAATCTGATCTACCAGAATCCATGTCCAGTTCTTTATTAAAAAAACTTCCATTAGATTTTTTTTTTTTGAGGGGGGGGGGGTTCAACCTTTGACTGTTAATGACGTGACGTGGGGAGGTACTAAACCCCATTCTCTTAAGTATTTGGGATTTTTGAGAGGCACCGAAGAGCAATTTCAGTCAGTTGACTAGTAAGAGAATTGAGAACAAATAGGGAGAAGGGTTGAAGAATTTAAGAAACAAAGTGGTGATTCCTGTTACTTCAACTAGCAATAGCAGCAACAGAGGCAAGGGTGGCCAGGGACCTCTTGAAGTTGAGATTAATAGGAGATGAGAATTGATATTTCAATTGTGAAGAAACTATGGGACCCAATCACAAGTGCTATAGGAAGAAATTGTTGATGTTGCTAATTATAGAAGATGATGAGGAAAAATGATTTAGATTGAGCTGTAGAGGTGGGGGAAGATGTACTTGAAAAGGTGATTGCATCCGTGAAGTTCAAATTCACTTCAGTTGTGGGATTCGTTGGCTCTAATACTGTGACGTTAGTGGGATAATTAGGAGGAAAGCATGTGATAGTGCTAATTGATAACGAAGCCACCCATAATTCCATATTATCACACATAGTGAAGCAGTCGGGAATTGAGATGCACAAGTCACACTATTATTTAGTGATGTCTGGGGATGTTAGAAAAATTTATGCCAAAGATGAATGTAATAAAGGTGAGTTATGGGGTCTCAAGGTCAATTTTTATTTTTTCTTCCTTCAATCTTGAGAAGGTGGACTTAGTTCTAGCCATAGCTTGGCCTGAGTTCTTTGGTGAAATGAGAGTGAATTTGGGTCAAGTTTCCCCATCTTTCCTTTTTTCGGCCTAAACTCAAATCAGGTCAATATCTCAAATTAATACACACACACACACACACGCATATTCTCTCAACCATTCTCTCTGGTACTAAAATCTCACGATATGATGATTAAAATTAAAAATACACACAATAAATAAATCTTTAATAAATTATTAATATATAGTAATGTAAATAACCTTATCATAAGAAAGACTGAAAAGATAACGGAAGGTAGCGTAGTCACCTATGGTCCACTTCTGTGTTTAGAGTCTTCTTGTTTGTGTGTAATGGAGGTCATATATAAATTGCCACAATTGTAGCCTCCAGCACACGGGCAAGGTAAAATAAATTGTACAAGAGGAGATGAATAAGTCCAATGACTGATCCAAATGTGAATTGGCTCTAAATACTCTCAAATGCTAGACACAATTCAGACCCTAATCACATGACATGTGAGGATACCAGCTTTCAGGCATGTAGATATATAGTTTTTGATAGTGGCTGCAGAATTTCCCACGGCAGCCTAAGCAACTAGTATGATGCCAGCCCTTTTCGCTTGCTGCTTTTCTATTGTGTTCAAATTTATTTTACTCCTCATATATTGCTCCTTTCCCTCCTTTTTCTTGGTTTCTTTTTTTGCCACTTCCATGTTCTCTGTCTTTCTTGTCCTCATATAATCTTAGTGCATACATGTTTATTTTATTGATGTAGGAAGGAAGACTCTTTACAAGGAGTGGGAAATGTTAGGATATAGATTGGTTTTGGTATATCTATTTTAAATTCTTAGAATTTATATTTATCTTTAAATGTACTTTGGATTAGGATCTATAAGATTTATCCCATTATCCTATCTTATCTAGGATTATAATATTTAGGATTTAGGATTATTTTATATTTAAGATTTTATTCCTCATCTTCATATTATCTTTTAAGATTTATTATATTTTATTCTGTTAAATTATAGTTGTGCCTCGAGCTCTATAAATTTCCCCTATCTCTCTTCAATTGTTAGGCCTTTTTCGATAAATTGAATAAAGGAGTAGAAAACCCTAGGATATTAGATTGATTGTGTTCTCTTCATTTTAAATTCTTAGGATTAATATTATCGTTAAATGTATTTTCTTTGGATTGGGATTTATAGGTTTATCCTAATATCCTATCTTGTCTGGGATTATCTTATTTAGGGTTATTCAGATTTTATCATTTATATTTATATTATCGTTTAAGATTTATTAGATTTATATTACATTAAATTTTATTTTTACACAATTGTACCACGCACATGCTTGAGTTTGGCCTTCTGTTGCTGGGCCTTCTTTGAAGGGATTCATGGTGTTGGCTGTGCTTCCTTAGCTCTGTTGTCAAAATCGCAAAGCCATATAGCCACAGAATGCTTTATGAAACCACGCCAGGAGTTCTTCACCAATTTCTGCCTCTTCTGTTTTTGACCTTTAGCGTTTTTTGACCCCTCCCTAGTTGCTGTGATTAGAGCACTTCAGCTGGGGCAATCTCAGCTGATTGGCCTCATCTTCAGAGAGGAATTGGCAATCAATCACACATGCACTTGGGCTTATTAAAGTTGCTCCAATCCATTTCCTAGCCTTGTATTACGAAGTAAAAAGAATGATTCCACGGGGTATTTCTTTGTGGATTACATTGACCTTAACAAGATCTCCTTACCAGATAAGTGCCTAATACCAAACATTGATGAACGCCTCAATAAACTACATGGTGTATTTTTTTTCTTTCTTTGTGTTTTCCCTCAAAAATTGAGATATATTTAAAATCGGGTTTGCCCAGTTGATGTTCATTGCTCAATCAATTGCATTCAGTTTGGCCACTATGAATTTTGATAATGCCACTTACGTTCCAGCATTCTAGGCATCCGTGAATGACTCAGTTCATCTGTATGTCTGAATTCATTTTGGTTTTCTTCAACATCTTGATTTACAGCCAAAATCTTGAGCAGCCTTTGGATGATCTACAAATTGCCCTCCACACCATTGCATACTTTGCTTATGTTAACAAGTGTCTATCTGGTCAGCTACAGGTCTAAACTTTGAGTCACTTAATTTCTAAGGAAGGTGTGGTGGTTGATTTGTGCAAAGTCAAATTAGTACGCCGATGGCTCTACCTAGTAATATCACATAAATACGTGGCTTTCTGTGTTTAACCGACTATCATAGTAGTCTTGCTCTAAAGTATGGCATTTTCTGCTCAGCCTTGAATAGACATTACCGAAAAGAATGGGTTCGAGTGGTTCGCAAAAGTAACAAGGCTTCTTATTGCTTATTTCAGCAAGAGTTTATCTTTTTCAAATTGTTACAAATCTTTTTATGATTGTAAACTCTTGGCTAGACTTGCCCTTCAAAAGTGGAGACATTATCTATTATGCTGTTCATTCTTTGTCAAAACGATCACCACAGCCTTAAGCATCTTCAGCAATATGCTGCTACCAATGAGCAAAATCGCTTAATCTTGAAGCCTCTCCCTTTTGATTTCATCAACGTATATAAAATATATCTTGTACTGCTTTGACATATGCGTCAAACTCAATCATAAATGGTTGGTGGAAGTTGCTTATGAATTAGAGTTGCCAACATCATCTGACACACGTCCTATGTTTTATGTACCTTTGTTTTGTGCTTGGGCACATACCAACCAGACCACCCACCCTATGCCTCTTACAGTTGATTGGGAGCTTCATTTATAACATGCGAAAGCTTGGACTAGCTGGTCACCCTTGTCTTGAAATCTTAATACGGTGCCTGGACAGACCATAGGAAGAGGCAAACTGGGAAGAACATGATTTGATTGCTCAGCAGTTTCTTTCTTGCCTAGGACAAATCACATTTTCAGGGGGAGTAATTAGGGAGAATTATGCCTGAGAACCGAATTCACAAATCTTTTATTCCTAAGGATCACTAGTGGTAAATACTCATTGTTCTACTCGTTTGTTTTTGAGTGGTAAACAGTATTAAATATCTTTTTATTGTAAATTTGCACCATATGAATGGTAAATGGTAAATACCCGTAGACTGGTAGACATGCATCTTGAGGGTGGTAAATTGAGGACCTTCTTAATTATTAATGTGTGAATTTGGTCCTTCTGTCTAATTCTTCCGAGTATTTACGAGCCTCTGGATACATATGTCAGGAGAAAGAAATGTGGAGCAGAGGATAATGAGTCTGAACATATTATGCTTTCTTTGCTTAAAATAAAATTGCATAAGATGGGGTGTAAAAATGGCAATGTGGCGCATTGCATGGAGGGTTGGACTAACTCCCCCCATTAGATGTAGAGATTTTATGTGTGCCCTACTTCGGTTGATTTAGGAATTCGGTTGTTCTTATTCAAGTAATAGCTCATCCGGGCCATATATAATATTTGCACTCATTAAGGTCAATTTATGATTGTCGGATCAAAATATGTGGTCTCTATTGGGAGCGCAAAGTCCTCTCCACTTGAACTTTGGTGTTGGGGAAATTTGTATGTTAAGATTCTTGCATTCAAAGTTCTTCCAATGATAACATTTACGCTCTTGATCCATTCTCAATTTTTTGGGGGACTTTATCATGCATCTAAGGGGGATGATGAAGCTTCTCTTTGAACTTGATCTACCATATTTTGATTCATTTGTGTTCTATTTTCAACATTTTTCCACATTTGTGTATATGTTGACTCAGTAGTCATTGATTATCCCTCCTTGGACTATTTAATTTATTGTACCCTTCCTTTACATGTCGGCAGCATCCAAGGTACATCCTCTGCACCTTGATTACTTCACCTTCTCTGGTCGAGTTATTGCATTAGCTTTAATGCATAGGGTGCAAGTGGGCATCGTTTTGGATCGTGTGTTTTTCATGCAATTGGCTGGAACGTATATTACTTTAGAAGATATACAGGATGCTGATCCATATTTGTACGGTAGCTGCAAGCAAATACTGGAGATGGATGCTGATTTCATTGATTCAGATGCTTTAGGGCTGACCTTTGTTAGAGAGGTGGAGGAATTAGGACACATGAAAGTGGTTGAGCTTTGCCCAGGTGGGAAAAGCCTTGTTGTTAATAGTAAGAACAGGGAGAAGTATGTTGATCTTCTTATACAGGATCGTTTTGTAACATCTATATCTGAGCAGGTGTCACATTTTGCCCAAGGTTTTGCTGATATTCTTTGCAACCCAAGACTCCAACAGTTCTTTTTTCAAAGTCTAGATCTTGAGGATCTTGATTGGATGCTTCATGGGAGTGAAAGTACCATTTCTGTTGAAGATTGGAAGGCACATACCGAATACAATGGCTATAAAGAAACAGATCCTCAAATATCTTGGTTCTGGGAGGTACGCAACCCCCCCCCCCCCCCCAAAAAAAAAAACTAAAAACTTAAATCTTTATCCTTTTTTATAATTTTATTTTTCAGTTCCATCTTTAGTGATGTAGTTTTATTCCTCTCTCGTTAATTCAAAGCTCTTGTAACAACTCCTGGAACCAGGGAGATATATTGCAACGATCTCCAGTAGTGAAGTACCATGCTGACATCACAATTGTAATACCTTGTTTTGCCAAAAGGACAACGCCATAGTGCTGACATATATGCCTTTTACCAAAAAAAAAAATAGTTTATGGTTGCAGCATTTAATTTAAACACTATTTAACTTTTTAAATGATTTAACTTTTTTGTCTTTGGGGGAAAACATGGCAGATTGTGGGGAAAATGTCAGCAGAGCAAAGGAAGGTTCTTTTGTTTTTTTGGACGTCTCTGAAGTATTTACCTGTGGAAGGTTTCAAAGGTTTGTCTTCTCGTCTCTACATTTACAACTCCATGGAACCCGATGATCACCTTCCTTCATCGCACACATGCTTCTTCCGGCTGTGTTTCCCTCCATATCCATCTTTCTGTGTCATGCAAGATTGTCTTCGAATCATCACACAGGAACACATTGGCTGCAGCTTTGGTACGTGGTGAATATTCTTGCATTTTGGATAGAAGTGATTCTGACTGCACATAGAAATATTGGCACTCAACTCTTGTACAGATTATAGGATAAACTTGTCTGTTTTGTGATCAATGTAAGAAGGCGCTATAGTTCTGGTGTTCAGATATAAGGGTTGCGAAGTCATTGTCAAATGTTTATAAATTTAGGGTATCAAGGAAGTATGGCTTAAGAAAGTAGTATGTCTCTGCGGTTTATCTTTTTAGCAGTAACTCTTATACTGGACACTGAATATCCCTTTGCATTAAACGTTGTAGTCTGGACAATTATGCTCAAAGAGCAACTCTTGCCCCTTATAATTACAATTAGTGGAAATTTTATACTGTGATCCTTCCTCCCTGCATTTTTCCCCACTAACGGTAAAGAATTTCATGATTGTCTTATTTATGGATTGAAAAAAAAATGTAATGGATTATGATTCTGTTTGTGCCAGTGATGTCATTCATTTTGAGCTTTTCCATAGACGCTGAGAATTTTGTTTACCCATGTTCATAGAGCAGCTTTCGAAATTCTGTATAAATCTTGTCAAATATATGTTGGCACTTGGTTATTTTTCCGTCTAAAATTTGTGGGTGAGCCGTGCCAAATGAACTAGGAAAAATTGTAATTAAGGTCCCATCCAAAGGAATTGAATAAAAAAAAAATCCTTTGAAATCATCAAATTATTTTGAAGTCCCAAAGGGCTTTGTTGCAATAAATTTGATTTGTTTAATTAGCAACTTCTCCTTATTTTTTTTTAAAGTTTGTATTGACAACTAAAAGAATAGTCGTTGACAATTTAAGATGTAAAAATTGACAACTGAAAGAATAGTCGTTGATAATTTAAGATGTAAAAATTGACGACTATCATAACAGATATTAACAATACATTTTCTCAGCGCATCACAAAATATAATGTATAAGTAGTCAATATTTATTGCGATAGTTGTTAATCGTTACATCTTAAGTTGTCAACAACTGCTCTTTCAATTGTCAATGCAAACTTAAAAAAAAAGGGTAATTTGGTAATTAAACAAATGAATTCTCTAGCAATAGGGTCTTTTGAGACTTCAAAATAATTTGCTGATTTCAACGGATTTTTTTGTGTTTAATTCTCTTAGGTGGGACTTTGGTGCAATTTTCCCAATAAACTAAGCTGATCCATATGGGATACAATCACCAGCTATAACACCACTAACAAAGAAGCTGACAAATGGTTGAGGTGCTATGATGGCTTGATGGGCCTCCTAGGAATCAGTAGATCCATTCCAGAATCCAAGTAAAGAGAGGAGACAGAGAAATAGTTGAAATTGGGTGTATATAAAATCTAAACAATTAATGCAAATAATCACAATCAAGATAAAAGAGCAAGAGATATTATCAAGAACCTTAATAACAGAGAGAAGTATCACCGATAGGGCAGAGTGAGAAGGAAAATGATGCATAGTAGTCTTATCCTAGTTTGGTCTCTTTATTGACTTACATCAAATGCTCAAGAGCCTCCTAACATTTTCTAATTCTCTATTCTCCATGATTTAAATAGGCTTTTGGTGTCACAATATAATGTTTGGCATACCATGTCTATCAATCATTTCAATTTACTTTCTGTAAAGCAATTGAATAAATCCATGTTAAAACTCATCTATCTTATTCAATTAAGGTAGGGGGATTAAATAGATAGAGGAGCCTCAACCAAGTGAGGTTATTAGGCTGATATCTTAGTGATTTGGCTAAGATTCTAGGAAATCAAAAAGATACATAATAAAATAAAACAAAAATACAATTAGAATCTTAGAATCTTAAAATCAAATTAGTGTACTTGGTGGAATTTAAACATAACTAAATGATGGACAAGGGTTTTTTAGGCCTAAAGCCTATTAGGTAGAGTCCTTAACACTCCCCATTAAGCTGGCATGTTAAAATTTTTAAATTTGATTTTGTTTAGTGGCTTTGTGAGTGCGTTAGCTACTTGAGAGACAGAACTTGTGCAAGTGCATGAGTGGTCAATCTCCTCTAACGTGGTTTTCTTTTTTATGTAATGTTGATTAGTATCCATTTGTTTAGCTCTATCACAATGGAATGGATTGTGAACTATTTATGGTGTTGCCATGCTATCACATCTTATTTTAATTTTAAGTTCTTTCAATACTCTAATTATCCATATGCCCTCACATACACCATTAGCTAGGGCTCTTAGTCTAGCCTTTGCATTATTTTCGGACACAAAAATCTGCTTCTTGCTCCTCTATGTTATAAGGCTGCCCCATACAAAAGTAAAGTACCCTTAGTTGATCTTTTATCCACTGTCTTTCTATTTTTGCGTTAATATAGATTGCCGCATCTCTTGATTCTCCTTTTGCAAAGAAAATTACTCTCCTTGGTGCTATCTTCAAATACTTGAGAATTTTATATCTTGCTTCCATGTGTTCTTTTTGTAGTCAGTTTGAGAATTCACTAATCACTCCCATTGCATAGCTTATATTAAGTCTTGTGTGGAATAGATAAGTTTTTCACCACTCATTTAAATCTTTATGCATTTACTAGAATTTCATCCTTTTTATATTCTACATTGATTGAGAGATCCATAGGAGTTAGTGATAGCTTAGCTCCTTACGTGCCAATTTCTTTGAGAGAAAGAGATGCCCTTCCTTGATCTGGTAATCTCCATCTTGAGAAAATATATTAAACTTCCTACATCTTTAACTTCAAATGCAACTGTTAAAATTCTTTAGTTTCTCTTTTTCTTCAATATCACTCCCTATTAGCACTATATCATTAACATACACAATTAATATAGTTATTTTTCTACCTTATTACTTTACAAAGAGCATGTGGTTTGATTGACATTGCATGTAGCCTAAGCCTTTCACTACTTTCATAAATCTCTCAATTATAAAATATCAAAAAGGAAGAATTGGTATGTGAATAGTATGGTTCATTCTTTAATGATTAATGCAGTATTTATATCTATTAGCTAAGATTATATTGAAGTAGGGCTAAGTGATGATCTGGATGGGCTAGCCCGTGGCCCACCCGTTTATAATTAAACAAGCTCGGTCGCAGCCTATTTAAGTCCGGCAGTCGTATAGGCTAACCAGGTTATAGGGAAATCTGTTTTTTTTTTTGAACTTTTTTTAGCACAACTACCTTGTATATGCTACCTGTGAAGCTGCCAAGAATTTTCCATATAAAGGCTAAAAGTTTAAACAAACGTTAAGATTTGATAAAAGATGAATGTGAACCAATATAATCAATTATCTAGCAAGATCTTGAGTATTATCATCATTATCTTTGGAATCACTTGAAATGATCGAACTTGGAGATGCTAACCCTTGCTCTACAAAAACAAAATAAATAAAGATAAGTTATTGTCATTAACATGAGAAAAAATCAAGCAATGCAAACTAAAAATGATATAGAAATGAGGTAATTACCAACAACAACACTTGTACTCTCATTAAAATAACAAACTAGAAATAAATAATATATGGCACTGACAGCTTTGGTTACTTGTAATAAGAACCGTAAGACAAGATTAACTTAACAATACTGCCAATTATTAAGATTCATTGATTTAAGAACAAATAAAGATAACTAGAAATGGAATATTAGGTGACCGTCAAAACTACAAGAAAGTAGCAATAAATGCTTCAATAGCAACAACAAATTAATAATCAGAACAGAGAACACCATGCTTCAATAAACTATAAGAAGAGCTTTCATTACAAACAATCATACATAATGGACAAGACATTTTCCACATTTATGTAAGAAAATACAGAGAAAACAAAGAGAAAGAAAACACCACCACCATATCAGCATACATATATATACAGGAAGTCTGAAGTAGAACAAAAGCAATGAAGCAAGAAGCATCAAGTTACTTATGGGGCTTTGGTTAATTCGTTCAATTTAGCTCTCACTTAAGTTCAAATAATATGAGCTATAAGCTAGCAATGATTAGCGAGGAAGGGAGAGGGAGATGTCAGAATTGAAAACCTACTAATTTGTTGACGTTGATTGCCAAGCTTCAAGTTGCCGTTTAGTTCGACCTGCAAGTTGCCATCGATGTCGAGTTTGAGCTGACTGAAAGCTTTGACCTTTCACTTCAAATTTCAATCTGCAAGGTAAAACAAACTCTTCGACAATTCAATTTTGATATAGAACTTAAAAGCTTCAATCTTCATATTCAGACTTAGAAGGAGGAAGTTAGAAAGAAAAGTTGTCGAGAAGTTGAACTGAACTAGGGAAGAAGGGAAAAGGAAGAGAAGATTGAAGAGTGATGCTAAGGCTCAAACAAAAGAGAAAATGAGGGGGAAAGGGAAAGGAGTAAGGAGAAATATGAGAGCTAAAAGAGAAAAAAAGAAATAAGAAAAATTATTTATAAAATGAGATCTTTGATATTGACAAAAATAGAGGTGTATTATTTCCTATATTAACATTTACAATCATGTAACACTAGACAAAATTATAAATGTCTTTAAAAGAAAATAAGTAAATTGTAATTGTCTCAAGTCCTTTAGTAGTATTTACCTTATAAAAACCATCATCAATTCTTTCTTACAGTAGCAATGCTCTTGTCCTCTTGTCCTTCACATAACAAATCTTTAAGTCAAAAATCACAATCACATCATTATCATTAGGAAGCTTTGTAACACTAATAAGATTCTTAGTAACACATGAAGTATATAGAACAACTTTCAAATAAATTTGTGACCATTTAAACTTTTTAGATAATTGTTTCCAATTCCAATAACATGTATTAACTAACTATTACTAACATATAAACTCATTTAACCTGGATATACTGCTGGTTGATCAATGACATTGGCATTGTTGGCCACGTAACTACTTGCTCTCCTATCTATATACCAACTTAGGTCCACAACAGTGTTTGGGGTAGCCACAAGAGCATTGTAATATGGAGGCATGTTGTTTCCCCCTCAAACAGCAGGTTATTCTTGTTTGAATTCTATGAATAATAGTAACATTCCAAAGCAAAGTGACCAAAGCATATGCAAACTTGATACTCAACATGTCTGCTATTTTTGTTTATTCAACCATGGCTTCTTGCTCACCTTGGACTGTGTCCTTGTCCATTTCTCTAACCAAATCAAAACCACTCAATTTGATAGTTGCTTCTACCCTAATAAATCACATGGGCCACTAGTTTTATGAGAAACATATTGCCCATCTAGTTTTGAACTTGATTCAATTGCTCTAAATGACTCTCAAAAGTCAGAAGAGTAGACAAAAGTTCTATCCAAGTAATATATGATTTATTAACAAGTTGGCATACAACTAGATTATTAGCACTTGAACAACCAGGTCAGTTATTAAAAGAGAATT